AAATGGAAACCCTGGCGGTTATGGCACCAGCCACATACACTGAGGGTGAGGGGTTCAAACCTGGCCCTGGGCAGCTAAACAACTACAACAAAAAAATTAGCCAGGCATTGTGGCAGGCGCCTGTAGTCCCAGCTACTTGGGAGGCTGAGGCAAGAGAATTGTTTAAACCCAAGAGTTTGAGGTTGCTGTGAGCTGTGACGTAACAGCACTCTACCGAGGGTGACATAGTGGGACTCTGTCTCAAAACAAAAACAAACAAACAAACAAACAAAAACAAAAAGGAGGGTGGCGCCTGTGGCTGAAAGGAGTAGGGCACCAGCCCTACATGTTGGAGGTGGCAGGTTCAAACCCAGCTGTGGCTAAAAAACTGCAAAAAAAAAAAAAAAAAAAAAAGGAAGCCCTGGCTACTATAGTTCAAGATAATCTTATCTGCATGAAGGAGGTCACTGAAGTGAAGACGACATTTGTGAAAGATTTCTACTTTGCAGGCATTACTGGGAAATAGTGATTGGCCTAAACATTGAGCCCTCCTTCAACCACAGCATGCCCAAATTCCTAATGTTTACTTCTAGTCTGTGAGCTACCAAGCAGATCCCAATGATAAGTTTATTTCTCTGTCTGGATGAATTACAAGGGCAGCAAAATGCTGACAGTGCTTCATTCCCTTAGGTGGCTTTCAGTAGAGGCATCCCAGTGGCTCCCTGAAAGTGAGCCAGTGGGCAGCTCATTTGCTGTTCTTGCTGGTTCCAGGTGTTAAACTTATCAGAAACTTTGACAGTCTGATAGGGTCAGGTCAAGGTGGTTCTTTCTGAAGTCAGCCTGTTGTTTAATGTTGTTTGTACCTTTCATGGTTAATTACCCAATTTACAGTGGTTTTATATCTTTTTAAAGTTGTTTTATTGCAAAATAAAAACTGGCAAAAATAAAAAAAGGGTTAAACTGTATTTCCATTTTAGAAACTCAAAAAGAACTAGTTTTTTTTTTTTTTTTTTTTTTTTTGAGATAGGGTGTTACTCTGTCACCCCTGCTAGAATGCAATTGTAGTCATCATGGCTCACTGCAACTCCAAATTCCTGGGTTGAAGTGATCCTCCTGAATAGCTGGGACTACAGGTGCACACCACCACACCTGGCTAATTTTGTTAATTTTTTGTAGAGACAGGGGTCTCTTGCTCAGGCTGGTCTCAAACTCCTAATTCTTCGGTTCAAGTGATTCTCCCACTTTGGCCTCCCAAAGTGTTGGGATTACAGGTGTAAGCCACCTCACCCAGCCAAGATACACATTCTGATCTTAAATGAATGCTTTCTTTTCAACTTCATAAAATGTTTAGCATGCCCCAGCATGTACTGGTGCTGTTCTTGTGCTGGGATACAATAGTAAATAAAAGTAAAAAATTGTCACCCTGTTGGTCTTATGTTCTTGTGCTAACAATAACATCACATGGCAAAGTCAGATTGGTTGAGCACTTCTAAGACTCTGAACATCTCAAAGGGGGGGTTTGCTCACCATTTTACCCCAGGACTTAGCACAGTACTTGGTGCATATATAGGTCAACATTTACTAGAGTTGTTTATGTTGTTCACATACAGCACACTTGGCCTGGCAGTTTTCAGTAAAATGCATAAATCCATGTAGAACTGACCAAAATGATGGTCTGCCTCCATAGCTTACCCACAAGGCCTCCACAAGTAGTCAGCTGCAAACCTTCCTTCCTTCTCCTTGGTTAGTATCATCGCTTCAGGAAGGTAATTAAGACAGCCTACCACCCTTACCATTTCTAACAGGCATATCAGGTGTCAGGCAGTAGAGAAGCAGCAACCATGAGATTCTAGTGAACAGAAGAAAGGTTATGGGCAAATAAACCCCTATTATGTACTTAAATTCATACAAGTTTAGTTCTCCTATATGTCGAACTCTGTCTAGAATCTCACTTAATCCTCACAGTAACCCAGGAGATATATTTTATAATCTTAATTTTGAGGAAACCAAGGGTCTGAGAGGTAACATTTACTTGTCCTACAACTAAGTATCAGATAGACTATGCATCCAGGACAGTTCCACTCTGTGCCATATCTCCTCTGCTAGTCTGCCTCTCAACTGGGGGTAATGATATAACCTAGAATCAATACAATCCCCATGGATTAAAGGGAAGCTTTTTTTTTTTTTTGAGACAGAGCCTCACTTTGTGGCCCTTGGTAGAGTGCTGTGGCATTATAGCTCACAGCAACCTCAAATTCTTGAGCTCAAGTGATTCTCTTGCCTCAGCCTCCCTAGTAGCTGGAACTACAGGTGCTGACTACAATGCCCAGCTATTTTTAGAGACTAGGTCTCTGGCTCAGGCTGGTCTTGAACCTGTGAGCTCAGGCAATCCACCCACCTCGGCCTCCCAGAGTGCTAGGCATGAGCTACCAAGCCCCGCCCTGGGAAGTTTCCTTTATTTGATTTACTCATTTAGATAATTTTATCTATTTCAGAAATTTTACAGTTCTTAGTATCTCAGAAGCAGCATTTGTGTTCTCAACCCACTGGAATACACTTTGATCCAGTGGCATGAGATCAGTCACAGATCCTGTCTAGCTGGGTGTCTCATATTCAGTCCAAGAAGCTCTGAGGGTGGGGGAATACATTTTAATCATTAGAACATACTTGGAACTTAGGGTGTCCTGCTTTCAAAATTAAGACAAATCCTCTATTCGGGCTTGAAAAATTCAGATTTTTACTTAAACTCATACCAGTATCTGCTTCTTTCTCAATCTACTAAAAAAACAAAAAAGGTCTCACCAGTATGCTGTTGTGATAAAGAGAATCATGTTCCAATACAAGATACTGGAAGACAAAGAACAAAAAAAAAGTAGGTACAGAATTAATGAACTGTTCTGGGATTTGTTCAACAAAGTAAACCTGGAGAACATAAAAATTGTTTATTCAACCTAATCCAGCCAGTATTAAGACAGTCTGCTAAATTAAAAAACAAGACATTTAAGAAAAAAAAATCACAGCAAAGTTAGCAAGGCAAGTGACTAATTAAGTCACTAGTTTAATTTTATATTCTTCACAGTCATTTGATAACCATGTAATGATAAACAATATTTTCAGCCACTTTGAATAGAGATAAGTTAACTTCTGCAAAGAACAAAATTCTACTAGTCATCATTGAATTTTATAAAAGAGGCTTAAAACATTAAAGTTTCTAGAAATAACAATAGAGCAATATGAAAACTGGAGAACAAAATACACCCACCCACCCACAAGTCTACATCATCCCTTTAATTTGTCCCCAACTTCCTTTCTTTTACTTCTTCATTCACTTTTCCTAGAGTGCAAACAGACTACTTAGTGATTAAGAAACATCTACTGCTCTGTTGGGGCCATTTGGGGCCTAAAGTGCCTCTGTTTCTTTAATTTCTCAGTTAATCCCAGAAATAGTCTTCTGAGATAAGACTATTTGCAATTCAGAGATGAAGAAAACTGCAGCTGAAAAGTTGCTTGGCCAAGGTCATATGTAAGCTTATTATTAAATGCTGAATTATGTTTGGAACCCAGGTCCATCCAACTTGAAGTCTGCCCAAGTTCTTTTGCTGTTTCACAGCTGGCAGTTCGCCTTTCTGGAAAGACTGGCACATGGTATTTCTTGAGCTAAGGCTCTTTAGATTTAAGTGTTCAATTCCAGGGGTAGAGGCAACTCTGGTCCTCAGGCACTTGCAGTTTCCTCCTGCTATCCCTAGAAATCCCTCCCTCTCCCAGCCCTCCTAAGCCCTGATGCCAGTAAACCCAAGCAGCTACTCCCCATCTTGGCCATTAAAGTAGTGAATAGGAAACTGTGTGCTTGCATAACTTTAGTTAAACTGCCTGAAAGTTGTTCTATGAGAAAAATGATGCAAGAAATGTCGATTTAGTGTATTTTTTCACATTAAAAATTAAAGACAAGCCAATAAATATATTTTGTAATTATAACTTTATAATCTAAGTTTTTTAATATATAATCATACTTTATATTTTCCCTTCAGAACTATAGCAGTGTTCTTAATAAGGCTCACCTGTAAGTCAAAACTTCCCTTTCTCCCCGAATAATACAACTTTGAATGTTCAACAGCCATTCATATAAACATGTTATAACTCAAAATTAAGACATTTCATAATTTAGAAAGGTACTAGGCTTTAATTACTTAAGTTAACATACATTATTGCAATCAAACATAGCTCAATCTATATTTGCTACACTCCTAAAGTGGCCACTTGTCAGTAAGGGGAAACATTTACTATTGTCATGCACTAGATACTGTGAACAAGAAAATAAATAGGGTTTTTGGAAGTATCTTTTTAAAATTTAATTTTAACTAAAAATAACTGCAAGACCATCTGGATTGCTGAACATTAAAATGGCCACTCTATTGATAATGGCTTAAAATAAATAATTGATTTTGAAAAATGTATACAAAACTAGTTAAACAGTGATTATTAAGGTGCTAGCCTCATCAATATGACAAGCAATTAAAATCTAGAAATATTAGTATTGGTCTTCTATAATAAACTGACTTAAATCAAAAACAATGACCTCAGTATTTACTAAAGACTTATTGTTTCCATAATTTTCTCCTCATTGACTGTTATAAAAACAAAGAGCTCAAGGCCTCACCTTGGTTTTATTCACTGCTGGTTTTCTACTGTTGAAACTAGACTGTGAACTCTGTATGAGCTGGGACGAAGTCTGTCTTGTTCACCACTGTATCCCACAGCACTGGGCACAGTGCCTGGGCAGGTAAGAGGTGATCAACAAATAGCTAAATAACTAAATCAGAGTGGAAGAGGAAAGTAACTTTATTGATTTTTTTGTTTTTTTGCAAATCATTCTATTCAAACTACTATAAACTGGCAGCTCTAATTTCTAGAAATATGGATTTAAAAACCCTATTCCAGAGATGGAAGGATCTGATCTCACACACACACACACACACGCGGTAATCAAGACCTGTATGAGTTAAAATTACGTTATGAACTTTGATGTCACCATTATATACATAAAATTTAATAGTGAAAAAGTGATCTGGAAGCCCTGTGAATTTTTACCCTACATATTTTGGAGGACATTACGTGGGTTAAGGAAAACACGACAAAGTCTTATTTGTTCAGGTAATCGTTTGAGTGTTTACATACATTTTTAGTTTGTTATTCATTTATAACTAATTGGTTTACTTTTCCTCATATTAACATAGGCTCCTGTTTAGTATGTAATCAAATTATGCCAGTGAGAAAAATCCTTATAGTATTTTCAATGAGTTGCTGATTTTAAGAAAACACTGAACATGAACATGTACAAAAGAGGCATTTGAATAAAATAGCATGTGCATTTTTTAATATTTGCACTGTTTGATCTTTACATTCCTGTCTGGAGAAAATATGAACAAAACCCAAGTATACCATGCTACGATGTTCAGATGACTGTTGTAAAAGAAGTACATACAAGACAATGAAAACAAATCACATCCTTAGGTTCCGTGATTACTGAAGACGATTTCCCCTGCCCTAAGTGCTTTATTATATTTCTTAAAAAATATAGGAGCAGCAGCTTATCACAAGTCTCCACAAGTGCATTAATGATGGAATCAAAACAAGACAACAGATTCGTAAGGATGAGAGGACTGAAGAACAACTAGAAGTCAGTTTTATGCTTCTTCTTGCTCTGGATAATTTAGAATTTTGCGGTGTGCCTGACGTAAATATTGCTGCTGTTTGAAGTAAACCTTAAATGCTCCTTTTATGGCAACAAAGGCAATTCCACCCTAAAATAAAAAGGAAAAATTAGCTTTCTGTAATGCAGGCTTAGAGAAACCTAATAATAAAACAAATTTTACTTAGATCACTAAAGACATAGGATTTGGTGGTAAACTAATTCAAATGACTGCAAATGAAATAGTTTTTCTTTCCTTGTAAGAGGTGAAATGGTGGAGAGGGAGATATTACAGGTAACAGAGGACAGTGATGGCTTCCATCTGAGTAATCCTCCTTCCACTTAACTCTACATCCATTCTGATATAGAAGGGAGAATGCCAGGGCACTATGTGCAGACTGCCACCACAGGAGAAAAGTGGGAATGATAATAACAGCAGCAAACAACTCGGGTGCTTACTATATGCTAATATGTATTTCATTTAATCCTCATGATAATCCTGAGGTAGCTACTATACTAGAGGTAGCCTCCATACTAGAGGGACAGTGAAGTCCAGAAATTTGATTAAGGTTTACAGTAAGGCAATTTCTGTGGTTGAATTTGAACCAGGTAGTCTGACCCCAGAGCAGAAGCTCTTCACCAAAATCCCACTGGCAAGACCCAGGGGAGTTAACAATTCATGCACGTTCTGAGAGATAAACTGCCCCCAGCTTTGTTCTGGAAGACCAGAACTGCTATACTGGTTGCTCCCCTTTTTATTTTCACCCAAACTATTGAATGACAGTGGGGATCAAATGCAGACAAAAGGCACAGAAGCCAAAGACCAAATATTTACAGTCTTCCACCTTTTTAAAACAAATAGTTCATTCTCTTTTGCATGTCACTTGAAAAAAGTATTAAAGCCATCTTACCAAGATTGTCCTTTGTAAATTAGAGTTAACACTACTGAACATCAATTTACCAACTATTGTCGCAATAGTAGGAAAGACAAGGGCTCCACACAAAATTCGGGTAGCAGAGACATGATCTGCTAAAGGATTAGCCTCTGCTGGAATTCGAGGAACAGGACAACCAATCCCTAAAGATAAAAACGCAGTGTATTAGTCTATAAATCAGAAGAACTAGAATATCTTCAAACATTTCTTAAAAGCATGTTATATTTTTACTCCATCATTTAGGCATATTTTATTAACTAGAATTCAGGTCTTTACCTGGAAATATGCTATTCAAAATTTGTAGTTTATTTGAGTATTTGCGCCAAAGTCTAAGTACATAGTCTTCCCAGCGAATCATCTTCCCTAATATCAGCATGACAGGAATAGTAGGAAGTCCAATTAAAAGAAATAGAGGATCAGCTCTCTCCATAACATCCAGACCTTCTTTATGGCCTACAACCTGTGAAAACAGATACCATTTGCTAGAATCAGTGCATTATCTAATGAAATGTGTATTTGAGCTCAGTTCATTTTATAAAAAATGCTTACTTTTAAAAGAATACATAATGAATCTAAAAGTTTTAAAAATAAGCTAGAAAGCTATCAGTCCTGATTTATTCATAAGAAATGTCTCTCATTCAAGGAAAAAGCAAAGTTCCCAAGCTATTTCATATTATATTAGGATTAAAAACCTTTAAAAACGGCTGACCCACACGGACTAGATTTCAATGGAGGGGTCAGAGCCTCTAGTTGTTTCTACTCCTCTTATTTGTTTGGGTCAGTCTGGGCTGTGGGACTGGGAAATATACTAGGTCCTGTTTGTCTTCTAGGAGAACATCTGTTTTCCTAATCTCTCTAGGAGATTAAGCATAGCAAGCCAAAGGGCAAGAATAGCCTTCAAGAAATGGCCCCAAAGCCCACTTCTCTTTGGCTCTTTCTTCTTACTCAGTGGTAAGTTAGATAAGGCGTGATGTCTCTGGCTGGCTAACTGTCTGCTCTGTGGAACTCTCTCTCTCCCCTAAAGTGCACTCTCAATGTCCAGATATGGGGAACTGTAGTAGGAAGTCTAGTTTTGGCATTTTCCCAACCCAGGAACTCTAGGGTAATCCTACCATGAGATAATTAAGCTAATACAGTCCTTTCGCATCCCTATTTGGGTCTTGGAACTATTTCTTAATTGCTTTAGATCCCAGAAGGCAAGGACAAAATTGGCATTCATGAATTTCTACATTCCCACCCTGCAAAATCCTTTTTATTCTCGGCCTTACAATTGTCTCATATCTCCATTCTTTTGGTGAGTGTCTTACTTCTGACTAGAGAATTTTTCTGAAATTTATCAATTGACTTCCCTTTAGCCAAAAGTCACAACCGCTCATAAATTAAACATAATTCTCTGAGGAATTATTCTCGGCAGTTATGACAGGAGAAGGAGATTATTTCAGTCTTGGGCTTCTAGCCCACCCAGGTATCACAAAGTGAGGCAACAGCTTGGATATCTCCTATCCAAAATTTTATAGTTTTTCTGATCACACGTGAGAAATAATCCAGGAAGAAAGGATTGAAAAGGACCTTGTCTATATCTTGACAGGGAGGAGAGAAAAAGAAAGGAGGTAGGAAGGAGGGGAGGAAAGTAGAGAAAAGATTAAAAGCTGCCAGGAAAAAAAAAAAAAAGCTGCCAGGGATGATATACACTCAGGAAAGCAAAGTCCTGTCAAAGTAAATAGAATTTTTCCAAAAATGAGGTGGTCTTTGTGTCAGCTATTACAGCAGATGACTTTTTAGGTAGTCTAGAAGGAGAAAGGAAATAAGGTCAAGATGAAAAGAGTCATGAAAATTGAAATTCTAGACCAAAGACTTGATCCAGGTAAAAAAACATTTTATAAAAGTGTATGAAAAGGGCTTAGTGCCTGTGGCTCAAGTGGCTAAGGTGCCAGTCACATACACCTAAGATGGCGGGTTCAAATCCAGCCCGGGTTCGCCAAACAACAATGACGGCTGCAACCAAAAAATAGCCAGGTGTTGAGGCGGGCACCTGTGGTCCCAGCTACTTGGGAGGCTGAGGCAGGAGACTCGCTTGAGCCCAGGAGTTGGAGGTTGCTGTGAGTTGTGATGTCACAGCACTCTACCCAGGGGGACAGCTTGAGGCTGTCTCAAAAAAAAAAAAAAAGTGTATGAAAAGGACCACATTTCAGGTACAGATATGATTCAGATTCCCACTTGGTTAAATTTATCTATACAAGATGTAACATTAAAGCACAGAAAACTAGCTTCTTTCTCATAGTAAAAAAAGGTTATTGGCTGGGCACAGTGGCTTATGCCTGTAATCCTAGCACTCTGGGAGTCTCAGCGAAGTATCACCTGAAGTCAGGAGCTGGAGAATAGCTTGAACAAAAATGAGACTATCTTTACTAAAAATAGAAAAATTAGCCAGGCATGGTAGCACACCTATAGTGTCAGTTACTTGGGAGGCTGAGGCAGGAGGATTGCTTGAGCCCAGAAGTTTGAGGTTGCTATGAGGTAGGCTGAAGCCACTGCACTTTCTCCCAGGCAACAAAGCAAGACTGTCTCAAAAAAAAAAAAAAAAAAAAAAAGTTGGTATTGAATCTGATATTCTTCTGTGTCTCCAGATAGAATTTCACATCTTATACATGGAGGTTGACCATTTTGAGTTGCCCTAAAGTGAACTGGTCTGGGTCATAAAATTTCATAAACCTCTGTTCCATCATGGTGGCAAAGGTAGACTGGCCCAGATAGTTTTACTTATAATGCTTTTCCAGGAATGTCTATTTTTATAGTTGTGGTGTCATGATAAACACATTGGTTTTTATCCATGGTTCCTGGTTTATAACTCCCTTATTTCTTGTTATAATGCTGGGGTGTGCTTAAGACCTCAGGAGACACAATCTCTTTCTCTGAACTTCTGTCCTGCTTTCACTTGTGCAAGGCAAGACTTTGGTCAAAAGACCCTCATTCCAGAGAGGGTACTACTCCATAACCCAGAATAAAGAATATTGCACAGAGAAGCCAGAAAGAAACTGAACAGACAGGTCTTGGTGGGTTTAGAACATAGGGTTTTCCTCTAATCACACTGCTACATGGTTGTCAACCATGCCTAGGTAATGAAGCCTCCATAAAAAAGAAGGCAGGCTGGCTGGGCGCCTGTGGCTTAAGTGGCTAAGGCGCCAGCCATGTACACCCAAGGTGGTGGGTTGGAATCCAGCCAGGGCCCGCCAAACAATGACGGCTGCAACCAAAAAATAGCCGGGTGTTGAGGCGGGCACCTGTGGTCCCAGCTACTTGGGAGGCTGAGGCAGGAGACTCGCTTGAGCCCAGGAGTTGGAGGTTGCTGTGAGCTGTGATGCCACAGCACTCTACCCAGGGGGACAGCTTGAGGCTTTGTCTCAAAAAAAAAAAAGAAGGCAAGCTTCAGAGAGCTTCCCGGTAGCTGAACTCATGGAAGTTCTAGGAGGGAGCGCATGGAAGCTCCATGTCCCCTTTCCCCACTCCTTACCCTATATATCAATTCATTCTGTATCCTTTGTGATAACCTTTATAATACACCAGTACAAGTGTTCCCTGAGATCCACAAGCCACTCCAGCAAATTAACAGACCCTAAAAGGGGTTTATAGGATAACCAATTTGTAATTGGTGAGTCTGAAGTTCCAGAGGCCCAGATTTGTGATTGGTGGTAGTGGAGTATGGTTTTGGAGACTAGGCCCTCAAGCTGTGGGATATGATGCTACCTCCAGGTAGACGGTATCATAATGGAATTTAAGGATACCCAGCTAGCTGGTGTCAACTTCTTGGTGTGTGTGGGGAAAGCCCCCACATTTGGTCACAGAAGTCTTCTGTTTTAATTACTATTATGTTGGCATGGAGTTTAGAGGAAAAGATAGCTTGAGTTTTACCAAAAAATATAATTTTTACTTTCAATGTAATTATCACTTTAAAGTTACAACTGTGATTTAAATATTCTCACCATGTTAGCAAATAAATTCTTTGTGGTGGTGCCTGCAGCTCAGTGGGTAGGGTGCTGGCTACATACCACAAGGCTGGCAGGTTCAAACCCTGCCTGGGGCGAGCTAAAAACAACAATGACAACTGCAACAAAATAAAATAGCCAGTGTTGTGGAGGGTGCCTGTAGTCCCAGCTACTTGGGAAGCTGAGGCAAGAGAATCAATTAAGCCCATGAGTTTGAGGCTGCTGTGAGCTGTGACGATGGCAAACCTCCCAGGGCAAGCAACATAGTGAGACTCTGTCTCAAAAAAAAATCCCTTGTTGGGTTTATGTGTTCTTTCTTTTATGCTTAGAAATATAAAACATAGCAAACATTCGGGTATGTGTTATACTAAGGAGAAATTTGTTCTTTATTGGTAGCAGTAAAAACCTTACAAGCAGGGGTCTAAGAATGAGGAAATAGGGCAAATAAAGGGTAATAAAGGCCCATAGTCTCCCTTGTTACAGATAAAACAGAGAGATGTTCTGTGCTCAAGCAAGTTAGAAGGGGGCTAAGGTTCATCACTCATACATGTATTCACTCAACTGAATACTGATTTTGTGCCAGACATAGGCCTACGTGCTTGGGATAAAATGATGAGCTAAACAGATGTCTTTCGGAGGTGAGAGAAAATCAAATCAAAGCAGCGTGTAAATATACATTCTGTGAATGATGTACTATAACACCTGTAATATACCACTTGGCACCACAGTCATGCTCAGGGGCAATGAATGAAAGCTGGATAAGCAATGAGCCTGATTACAAAGTTAGTGAATCCTGGCTGTAAATCATGTACATTCTGGTTTCATGCTTCAAGATTTAAAAAAAAAAAAAAAAAAAAAGATTATTTTTAAGACTTCAATTTTGGGATGAAATCCAAAAACTATAGAATGCCTTCTCTAAGACTTTGTTATCCATGTATAAAATAAGGCGCAACAGAATTGTAGGTTTAGAGAAAAAGAGATTGACTGACTGATGCTGCTAAAGAGCTAAAAGATCTTCCTATTTAGGTGGGCTTGCAGATCACTCCTGCAAAAAGGCTGAGTTTAAATCAAGGCCAACGCTTTAAAGTACTGCCTATTAGAACTCAACTCAACTTTTAAATAGAAGTATGGAACATCAATGAAATAGCAGGTTTTCTTAGAATTAAAAATAATTAAATGCTATAATTAAGGGACAATGCTCATGGTGGTTGTCATCACACTGGAGGTGTAAGTGGGAACTAGACTGGATATTAAACTTCCTTTGTTCTAGGATTAAATGTTGCAGCTGCCTCTGGGACCAAGATTTACTTAAGGAGTCCTAAAACTTCTTCCTTGCTATGTGGCACTGGACATGTAAACTCTATCTAAACCAATAAAATAGAAATAATTAATAGCATCTATGTCACAAAATTGTCACAAAGATTAAAGGATCAGTGCTTAAAAGGTGTTTAGGGCTAGGCACCCATAGCACAGTGGTTATAGTGCCAGCCACACACAGAGACTGGTGGGTTCCAACCCAGCCCAGGCCAGTTAAATGATAATGACAACCGCAACAAAAAAATAGCCAGGTGTTGTGGTGGGAGCCTGAGGCAAGAGAATGGCTTGAGTCCAAGAGTTTGAGGTTGCTGTGAGCTGTGACGCCATAGCACTCTACTGAGGGTGACAAAGTGAAACTGTCAAAAAGGTGTTTAGACCAGAGCCTGGAAAAGAAAATTAATCATGTTTTTTCAGTAAAAATGTAAGGGAACTAATAACTGTTGAGTCTAAGACTGGTACATGGAAAAGGAAAGGAAATAAAATGGAAAAAGAACAGTGATCTAATAGCTTAATCTAATTTACTTGAATTACTGAGTTATTATGCAACAAAAGGAAAAAACAAGTCCTAACCACTGCTGATGGTATAGTGGGGTACATTCCCTATCCTAGGTAGGTAAAGTTGTCTTCCTGATACTTTTTTGTTTGTTTGTTTGGAGACAGGGTCTCACTCTGTTGCCCAGGCTAGAGTGCAGTGGTGGCATCATAGCTCATTGCAGCCTCAAACTCTGGGCTCAAGAATACTCCTACCTCAGTCTCCTGAGCAATACAGGTGTGCACCATTATACCTAGCTAATTTTTCTATTTTTTGTAGAGATGGGGTCTTGCTTTTGCTCAGGCTTGTCTTAAACTCCTGGGCTCAAGTGATGCTCCCTCTTCAAACTCCCAAAGTGCTAGGGTTACAGGCCTGAGCCACTGTGTCTGGCCTCTATACTTTTTTTTTTTTTGGAGACAGAATCTGACTTTGTTGCCCTCGGTAGAATGCATGGCGTCATTCAAACTCTTAGGCTCAAGCTATACTCTTTGTCTTAGTCTCCTGAGTAGCTGGGACTACAGGCGCTCTCTACAATGCCTGGCTATTTTTCCAGAGGCAGGGTCTCACTCTTGCACAGGCTTGTCTTGATGACCTGAGCTCAACCAATCCAGTTGCCTCAGACGCTTGAGTTCTAGGATTATAGGCATGAGCCACCGTGCCCATCCTCCCAATATGCCTAAATCACAGCAGTACATACTTATTATAGCTAGTCTCACTCATTTGGGGGTTAAAAAAAGAAATTTTTTCAAGGGAGATAATACACATGAAGGTGATTTCTAAATAGTAACACATAAATATATATGTACTATAATTTTTGCTTCCCTGCTTACATTATTTCTTCTACTCTATCAATCCAAATTAGTTCCTTTAAGAGTCACCTTACTTTTCTCATAATTTAAAATGTTCTTTCACTTAATTGAAATATTATGTAGTCTTCTTCACATTTATTTATATAACCTTGTAACTGTTCTCCAGTTGTTTCAATTATGTACACTTTGTCTTAGACTATATCCCTTGAAGCTGGGATTAGGGCTTTTAATTTATTTATGTTTTCAGCACTACAATTGAGTATTAACTTTTTGAATAAATCACATCATCATGTTTCAAAATGCCAAAATACAGCTGACACCCCTTTTTAGAAGGTACAACCTGTATTTCTTACTTGGCTCCTACTGTTAAAATGCTACATTAGTTATAAAAATTTTTTTACTTACATTGTGCCAGCCTAAAAACTTCCTCCAAAAAAGCCATCCCACTTCTTATGGTCAATAAGCTTTACAGAGAAATCACTCAATCTTAGAGGGCCTCAAATTTCCTCATTTGCAAAAAATATACATCTGCATAATATATTTGTATTATTACATATAATCTGCTCTAAACATCTATGCCTTTGTACATCCTAATAAATTGTCCTGAACCTCCCTGATCTGATGATGTACTGAAACTCATTAGACAGTTCACATCAAACAAAAATCAACATTTATGAAAGCCTTTTACATGGCAGTTTCTGTGTACATGTTATAACAGGGAATACAGAAGTATAAAATTGATTTTACGTTCAAGGAAATTACCTTCTAAGAGGAAAAGTAAGGCCTCTATAGGAAATATACGTAAAGTTAAATAGATATTCTACATAAGAAATGTCATTTGGTTGGTCAGCATTAAGACTAGTTGCCATGAATATAGAGGAAGAAAAAATCACAGCAGG